CTTCATGGAATCAGCAGGCGTTTTCAAATTTGAATGCAACTGATGGTGAATATCATTCATCCTTTCCGATAGCACTTTCACAAACTCTGGCACATTTTCAGGCAACTCTTCGTAAGATGGGCTTCCTGGTAACAGATCCACTGGCAACCGAAGTTCCCGACCAAACATCAGCTTTGCTGGAGTGTATCCAGTGGCCTCATGCTCTGCTGTTCTACAGGCCATCAACAGCGGAGGGAGTAAGACATCCCAGTCATCTTGGCGGCTATTACAAAACTTTGACAATTCCTGTCCCAGTGTCCAATTGTACTTTTCTACCATCCCATCAGAATGTGGGTGAAGTGGCATTGTCCTGGTCTTTCGTATGCCAAACAACTTGCAGCATTCATGGAACACAGCTGATTAAAAGTTTTATGGCCATGATCCGATTGCATTTCGTATGGCACACCAAATCTGAAGAAACAATCACTAATAGCCGAAGCTACAGTTGTAGCTTCCTGATTTGGTATTGCATATGCCTCAGCCCACTTGGTGAAATAATCCATCACCACACAAATGTACCTGTTTCCAGCAAGAGTTTGGGGCAAAGAACCAGCAATGTCACTAGCCACTCTTTCCATTGGTGCACCAACTTGATATAACTTCATTGGAGCATGTCTCATATGCTTGGGTCCCCTTTTAGCACAACATGTATTGCAGGTCCTGCACCATTCTTCCACATCTTGCCTTATACCTATCCAGTAAAATCTGTGCCGTAGGTGACTCAGTGTCTTCTTAATGCCAAAATGTCCTCCTGTTAAACTATCATAGGACTGATGCAACACAACTTCCCGTAACTTTCTCGGTATAACTGTTTGCCAGGTCGTCACTTTCTCATCAGCAGTTTCCCATCTCCGGAGAAAAATACCATTTTCAAGCTTCAACTGGTCCCATTGTGCCCAATAGTTCTTTGTCACAGGGCTTAAGCTAGACACCTTCTCCCAAGCAGGGCACAAAACACTTGCTTGTAGAAAATCAATTATTGGCTTCAAATCTTGGTCTTTCTCCTGTTCTGCTTTAATATCTATACCTGGTTCCACGCCACCATCATCAACTCCTTCAGTCACTTTGACTTCAGCTTGATGGCACCTTGTTACTTCAACCTCTCTTTTGCAGCAATGTCTGCAGTCATTTTTACGGAGTCTTTGGCTCAGTCCATTAGCATTTCCATGAGATTCTCCTTCTCTGTAT